TACATTAGCTATGAAAGCGTTATTAGTTCATGGACATAACATAATATATGGGATATAGTCGAAATGGTTTCAATTCATGCCCCTAGCTTCATAGTTTTAAATTACCATATATGTTCAAATCCCAATAGACTCAATATTCAAATTCATATCCCGAACGATATGAGGATGAAATGAAAAATTGTAAAATTATATTTCCACATCACTACATTTCGAGAGATCTGAGCTGTATCTGAGACATACATTTCATAAAAGATATTGATGATCCAGTCTCCATAAGATGCAATAGTAATTGCTTAGTATGCATCTTGTTTGTAGCACTTATTAAAGATTGTACCTATAACGTGTATTATAAATTTTACATTTACAAAAATCATATCATATATTCCCGGAACGGCTGCTGCCATATGCAGATATCTTGCTAACTAAATTTTGGAAGTCCCAGTAGCCGGACTGCGAGAGTAAGGATCAGTAAAATATTCTATGGAAATATTGCGCTAGCTACTAGATCGTCGAATTACTAGTTGTACCTAAAGAGAGTAGAAAACGTTTTCTAATAGTTACAATTACACGTAGTCAGAATTCATTTAGATAGTTATTGTTTTAGTTTTTAATCAACATTATTTCCGAAAGAGGTTCTTTTTCTTACTATATGCCTTTTGTAATGTCTATGTAATGACACTAGAATTCCAAATCTATTTTCTTTATAGTAATGATTCAGTTCAATATCGTAGTAAAAAGGAAAGTGATTACCTTTTCTTTAGGAAAGAGATCCTGGAAAGACGCTAAAGGTCCTGACGTTGAAATAAATATGATTTTTACAAAAAAAGACTACACTATGTGAGAATCTTTGTTGTCGACGATCAAGACTGCTATTCTTTTAACACCATCCTCTAAACTCAGACTGAGAGGTTAGGGACAAACTTGAAAAGGTACATCTTTGCGAACTGAAATCTAAGCGCAAAACAAAACCAGAACATATACATTTTAAATTTTATATGGTGTGGTGTTATATTGGTTCCATATTAATTTTTATTAATTGGAACTAAATATCATCAGGAGACATAAGAAATGAAGGTGTCCCCATGAGCATAGACGAACGTCGTATTTCTCTCAACTTTTATAGGATGTTGAATTTTCTTTTAGTATAGCCTTGGGGGTGTCTAACGATGTTACTGGGTCTTAGCTTAAAATTTGTTATGGTTTTTGAAATAACATTCTTTCTAATAATAGACAGACGTTTTGTAAATCAATCAATCATTGGCCCAATCCATCTTTATCAGTACGGTTAGTTATCATTGCGTTTTGAAACTGAGGCAATAAATCTTAAATGTGACTGTAGATATAAATGGAGCCAAGATATACAAATAACAGAGAAACTTTGTAAGATATCGAAATATGTTTAATTAATTATAGCAACTGAACCATAACAAGGTTCAGATTATTAAAAACGTATTCATAGAAAAAAATATTGAATCAAAAATAAATAGATTTGAAGGAGATTTAAATTAGTGAAATTCAATTAAAAAGTTGATTTGAAATAAATTTTTATTATAAAGGTATGTTAAATAAGAGATGGCATATTAAGATACAAATATTTATCAATAAATTGTAATTGACTGCTGATTTAGACGAACAAGCGAGACGACGTTGCGTCTATATCCGTGAGGGCACGATGCCAAAGCCCCGGGAAGTGTCACCTGAAATTTTCGCCTGGTTGGCGCATTACGCATTCTTCCCAGTTATGCCTATCGAAACAAAGTGCTCCAAATAACTACACGATTCACTGAAGCGGTATTCGCTCGGTTCAAGCGCCAAAATCCTCCCAACATCATGATAACGACAGTACATACCAGAGAATAAGCGTACGTTTCTATGTACTACTATTTCATTTCAAAATAATTTAACGTACATTCCTAAAAGGTATTATGCTTTATATATAATAGGTTCAAAGTGAACTTCGCCACAACAATTTAGATACGAAACTACTGTATTTAGTCTTAGACTTCATTTCAACTCACGTATCGTATAAGTACTCTTGTTTTTTCTGAGTTAATTGTAATATTGAAAATAAAATTTGTTACGATAAACAGTCATAGATTTTTTATTTATATAAATACCTATGTCTGAAATTGTCAATCATCGCCATTAACATAATCAAAGATTTCACAACACAGTATAATATTACATTATGTTTTGCTAACAAATTTTATATCAGTATTTTAGAGATTCCATCGTGATGATTCGCCTTAAGTTGATATACAATATCAGTGGCCAAATAAAATAAGGAAATTATTTTTAATTTACTTGACTAAAACTTAAAACCAATTTTTATTAAATAACATAAAGCATTTATTTATCTAAACTCTTATTAAATACACAAAATAATTGCTTTCCTCATTGGAGTATTGAAAATAGTATTTGTTACGGTAAACAGTCATAAATTTTTTTTGTTTATATAAAGTCCTATATCTGAAATTGTCAATGTTTGACTTTAACATAATCAAATATTTCACAACACAATATAATATTTCATAAGATATTATATGTTTTCCCACCAATTTTAATATCAGTATTTTAGAGATTGCATTGTGACGATTCGCTCTGAGTTGATATTGTGAAATGGACAAATAAAATAAGGGAAACTATTTTAAATTTACTTCACTATGACTTAAAGAACAACTTTTATTATATTACAGAAAATATTTATATACCTAAACACATATAAATACAAGAAATAATTGCGTTCCTTATTGGAGTCCATCGGCTTATTTTTAAATTAAGACCGTTTTGAATTATGTTTGAAATATTCCGTTACAATAATAATGACTGAAAACAGATCTCATCCTAATATATTTCCGTGGAATAAATTTTGTATCAAATAGCCCTAATTTAGAGTTGTTTGCATTTCTATAAAGGTCAAGGGTACATCATCAAGTATATTGTGTTGATGAAAGAGATCCTTCGTAACCTAATGGCGTACTATGAAGGTTGAGACTGCACGATAAGCTGGGGGTTTAGTGCTAAGTTGAATTTATAAGTCCAGTCAAGTGATACGTCATCATAGCGTTGAACTTTGGAGGAGAATTTACTTATAACATTATTTTGTGATGCAGTCGACTCTTGTAGACCTTGATGGCCATAACATCGTGTTATATTCATAAATAAAAGAAATCTACACATTGCTGATTATAATTATGCAAATATCTTTATAAATGAAACATTTAATTTTAATTCCAAACATACCACAATTGTACTAATTTGCCCAAATATAACCGTGCCTAAGGTGAGTATTAAATGAAAGTGAGCGGAGAAATACAAGTTCCACACAACAAATTAATTTCAAAGATTGTTTGAAGCAATGTACCTATGTATATATGTAGGAAGTGTTGTAAAACTCTCGACGCTAAAGAAAAATTTTATGCTGGAATTTTATAACTTTAATATTTCACCGCACACATGTCGGATACAAGTAAGATTTAAAGAAATAATTAGGTTCAGACTTGAACTGCAACTTGCACGTATATTTTTAACAAACCCAAAAAAAGTAAGGTTTTCGTAATATTGAGCTATATTAAATTATAAATGTTAATATAATAAATATAGTTTATTTAAGAGAGTTATTTCAGATGAAACTGCTAATAATTTAAAATATGCAACACACAATAAGAAAAAAAAATCTACTTTCATAATGATATTTATATATAAAAAGTCATAATATTTATTAAAATAAATATAATTTTGCAATATTTAATATGAAATAAAAGTCAGAAAATATTTTAATAACACATTAATATTAATAATATTATACTATTAATTTTCCTGTTTCATACCAAGCACAAAAGTTACGAAGATTGTTCAAGAGCGCGCATACGAGCTAGTTAACCTTGTAGTTCAAAGTTTGTGCTCATATAAGTGATTATGTAATGTGCATGGTTGAATAAAATGAAGAAAATCCGTATAAACGTTGAATTTCCCACGAGGAGATTAAACCTTTGGCACGAGGTTTTCCATCTTAGATGTTAAATTAACACCATTATATCTCCAATATTATAAAATTAGTACTATAATTAAAGAACGGTTTGTTTACTTTGTTTGAGTCGAAGTTTTATTTTCATTATGATATTATTGGAGTTATATTTTTGCTTCAGAATATAAATATATACAGTAAAAACAAATATACGAAGTCGCGTTGGCAGATGTCGAAAATACTTTTTTTGTGTAGAAAATATGTTTGCAAGGGTGGTTTACTTAAGTAATATTGAAGTGAACATCTCTCGGTAAAATAAATACGTTACCTTATATATTTGAAGGTTAAGTAAGGTATAGCCAGTCGAATTCATAAAATGTTTTAAGTAGACAGAAGATAATATTTGTTTATTCAGAATAAATATTTATAGTAAAGTTTCTAAACTTGGTTGTACTTTACATTATCTCAGATTGTTTTGTTATACAAAATTTCCCTCGAGCCGTTTATAATTCTTTTATTACTTTTCAATAAAAATATCAGAAAGTGGTTTATTATTTAAAAGGCTCTTTCAGAGTGACTGTTAGTTTTTGTTCTGTTATATACTTTTAAATTTCATTGTTTAAAATTTTTGTGTAAAATATCGGCTTTTTGGATTGTATATAAAAACACGTATACTCTCACTGTTATTTTCAAATCTAGTGATGAAAGTTGAAAATCACCATTCGAGAATGCAAATCTAAATTGACTGTATTCAGGCTTTAGAGCAGACAGTTTGAGCCATTCAGTTACCAAATACTCACTAACCTCATGCATACTGCAAATGGCATCCTTTAGAAAGTATGAATAAACATTTGTTCGTATTCCCAGCTTACAATTTCTTTTTTTTTACCACTGATTTTTTTCAAGCTCTACAACATCATAATCATATTATCTAAATAACTGAATATAATATCATTTCTATTTAAATTTAATTTATATAATATGAATAAACAAATCACTTGAAAACAGTGCCATCTATTGGAAAATAACTCACCTAGTTTCAGAGCCGACTACAGTCCAGCCCCGCCTACGTCTTACGGCGCGGACTTCGGCTGAAACTACGCGGTCGCGGGTGCGGCGGTGGCGACTCACGTTTGAACCGAGGAGCGCGGTGGCGCCATCTTCGAGTTCAGCGATTGGTAACATTGGGTACGAAGTTTGAAACCGAGTTTCAATTGATTGTTGAAAAGAAAGATAGATGTCGACACTTTCACATTTTTGGTATATGATTTATCATTAAAAGCAAAGTAGCGATATAATTTATTATAACAGTTCTGTTGTATAAGTGTTGCTAGTGTTATAAAATTTAGTACAATTTCAAATGTAAAATATTTTAGTCTTTTTCATATGACCTAGAATTCGCGTTTTGGTCCAATAAAATTTCAACTAACTATTTCAAAGCGCTTATAACTGAAAGTATTTTATTTTGTTGCAATATTATTTTATTTTAAAACACGTACTAGTGGAAAGCCATTGAATATAAACGTGGCGTTTAAATTTATATTTTAAATATTGTACACAAATCATCCACAGCTTTATGTAAAAGCTTTTAATTAAAATCTTCTATATTTTAAATTTTTACAAAAAAAATCTAAGTATAGCTACATTTTTAGAAGAAGTGAAATTTATTACATACTGCAATTGATTTTATTTTCATTTTATAAGTTGTCTATGTTGATGTTTAAAAACCTTATTTCGAAAAGTTACTCCAAATATATAAAATTTTCTTTATATATGCTTACATATCGTTTTAAAAATAAATGAACTGTTAAAGAAATAAGTTGGTAGTTAAAATCAAACAGTGTTTTGAAAAAAGAGTCTGATAATTTTACTATTGATTCCGGATTATGTCAAACATTGATAGTATTTTTATCATTTTCACATTAAACAGTTTATTCTTTAAGTCTATATCGATTACATATCCAAAGTATTAATGCAAAATTCTATTCATGAAACTGTCATTATATTCTCACGATAATCCTCTGTTTATTTTAATCTATTATAAACTTATCGTTTAGCAACAGCTTTAAAAGTTGCGTCATTAAAAATGCAAACTGTTTGTTTTAAACTCACTCTAAAGTGAAACTTTTTGGACTAGCATTAAAACTAATGATGTTCCTTTGTTATATGGAATTGTTTTACCGTTTGTAATTATCTCTTTCTCTTTTATAGATTAACGGTTATTTTTTATATTCATCTAGCCAGTGTGAATTCCATTACATATAATTTTTTTATACAATTAAAATTTTAAATATAAATTATTGCTTTATCCGCTTAGTTTCTTTATAACCAGATGTATAAAATTTTACTCTTTTCTATATTTGCATTATTAAAAATGTATTTTAAAGTATTGACACTCAATATATCTAGGAACTCACGCTATTTACTCGCTACTTTACTTTTAATCAATTATATCACTTAATTCACTGTCACACTAACACAAACTTATAGTAGAACACCAAAAAGGTATAAGAAATTATATGTTTTATGAAAGTTTCGATAATTACATCAATTTATATCAATATGTTTTGCAATTTAATTTAATATGTTATATATGAGAGCGTGATACGTTCGCGTGCGACTTGGCGCGTAAACTGCAAACCATCGAGATCCAAAGCGTTGACATTATCTTCGAAATTATTTCTGTGAAAATTAAAGAAATATTGACACTAATAACTCTCCGTCTGTCAGTCAGTTTCCCAAATGATGCGTGAAATATTCGAAGCTAATCGAAAAAAAATGTTTTTGTATGAATCATTTAACTGGAATGTTATATTTATCATTTTGTTAAATTCACACGGGTATAAAATTGTTACATTTTTTTATTCTATTTATAAAGTATCCGCTTTATGCCACGAGGTCGCATCTGTGTTATCGTCAAAGCAAATGGAAATTGAAAATGCAGTGGTCCCTGATAACACTTTCATGAGCCGATGTCTCTATAATATATTGTATGAAAAATCTGTTGAAATGAAACTTCCCGTTCCATACCTAAAACTGATGTTTTAAATTCCGCCAACTTGTTCTGACATTTCGTAATGTTACCACTGTATCTCATACAAAAAGTATCATATATATATTTATATCGCTTAACTTTTATAAAAGTAATCAATATAGATATTGTATGTTTTATAAAATATGATTAAAATAAAGATATTATATCGTCTAAGCGCGGGTTGTTTACGCACACCGAAGACCAGAATAGCTAGTGGCAAAGATTCAAATATGTCGCAGTGTCCTAAACTTTGACTCAGTTTCTCATAATGTCATAATAATTTATTTGATATTCGGAAATAGCTGAAATAATTATCTATTTCATTTCAAATTATATACAGGAAATTACAATAATGTCTCTACAGCGTCTGAAATCTGTTAATGCTTCTTAATATAGTTAAAAACACGTGTCATTGTTTAAGTGCAGCATTGTTTACTCTTAACAAAATTCATCACAAGTTGTTTTGTATCCAATGGCCATATTTTATATACCTTAAAACAAATGGCTTGCCAAGAATTCGCATTACATTTCAGCGAAGATTTTATAAGAACTCAACACTTATTAAGCGGGAAAAACATTGAGTGGTGTTTTTCTGACAAATGAGTATTGAAATTTTGGCTAGAAATATTCTCATATTTTAGATAATAATTAGATTCTGCGTAGTGTTTTTGTTTAAGTTTTTTGTTCTTATCACAACAAATTATACAAATCTAATACAGTACCAAATTTTGTTAAAGACTTTCCTAAAACAAGGGTAAGACGAACGGCAGCTTTGTACATAAACAAAGACTATTCTCCTAAATTTACTTTTGAAACTTCTTTTATTTCCAAAGTCTAGTTTCACCTTTATTCTATATTGAATAGTGATTCCTAAGTCGATTAAAACTTTAAAATTGCACAGATGTGTATTTAGATTTGAAGAAGTGTAATCAATTTATTTATTTACCTTTCAATACTAACTTAATTCCACTTTAAAACCTTTCATAATTTACTGCACTATAAAAGTTTTAAGACTAAATTTAATAACTGATACTTGTTGATCAAATTTATATGGATAAAATCAATAAATAAATCCTTTGAGCTCCCGGTTACGGTTAATAAATCCAATTACTAAGGTTAAGCCTTGTCATATTGAATGTGTTATTTTTATATGAAAAATAAACTCGCTGACAAATTTTTTTTCGTATAAAATAGAAATTCAATTTAACAGTTTAGGAGAATTTTTAGGACAAAGTTTGTAATAAAAACAATGTTCAGAATTAGTTTTACTAATTTTTATTATCTTTATATATAATAGATGTTTTAACACTTCTTTTGTAATTCACTCTTGAAAATGGTGCTATCTAACTTACTAAACCTTTATCTACATATGGGAGAGATATAGGCAGTTACTTGAAATGGGATCAAAGTAAAAGGATTAAACAAACTTATATGACCAAACCTTAATCCTTATAATATTACAAATGCGAAAGTTTATGAGGACCCATGGATATTTGTTGCTCTTTCTCAGAAAAATCTTCAAACGTATTTTGATGAAACTTTTCAATAATGTAACTTTTAAATAGAATATATGGTTTTATTGTAATATTTTATACTATATAAAATATCTCAGACCAGTATTGTTAAAGTATAGACACATTTATATTTCTCTCAAACCAAAAACAGAATTCCATTCGTATGACGAGCTAACATAATTTGTCAAAAAAATATCTCAGGTTCTAATCATATCATTTTATACACTTTCTTGAAATATATGCTTTTTAATTTGTTTTTATCTCTTTCATTACTAGTTTAGGAGTCTATAAGGGTTCTTTTAAAGAAGGGTATCGGAGTGTGAGTAAAACATAGATGTTATTTTTAAAAAAAGTTCAAAAGAACGACATCACTGGAACAGGCACTATACTATATGTTCTAACTGGGACCATTAGCTCGTTATGTCATTCCGAGATCTGAACATCAAAATAGTGATTGGAATTAGAGTGTTATTTCCTTTATCAAGAATTGCTTCATTTCCCAACGCTCGTGACAGCTTGATTGTTCTTTTAATTCCTATTAATATGACCTTTTCGTGGGTCTTATCCTATTTATCTAAACTGTCAGTAAATTCGGATTTCAACAGTTTTCAAATCTAGAGCAAATAGAGAAATGTGCTAAGAATTTAATAAATCACAATTAAGGTATTTGACACGGTATTTAGAAATGACATAAAACTTTATGCATGAATGGTAAACAATAGAATGTCTATTGTATATGTATGCCTTTACAATGCAGGATTTATGTAGGTCTGTGTCAAAATGTTATGATTAATGCAGGGGATGAGAATATAGAACGTAGCAAGTGTCTTAGTAAATTACGCCACTAAATATATTTGTAACGGACAGCTACTTCTAAATAATACATGACAGAAAACTCAAGACAATAGTTGAGGTGACGATGATGTCTCCGAAGTCGCCATTGTGTTGCAAATTACCCGTTACAGAAATACTCATGAATATTAAGCGAAATTAATTGTTCTAGGACGTCCATTCGCTAAAAACACTTTTACAATACAACCACGACTCAACTGACTGACTTGACTTGTTGTAATTGCTAAATAGATATATACAAATGTATTTTACGAGTATTGACAATACATACAAAATATGTTTAGAAATAATTATTGCTTCTTCTACAAGATAATATAAATCGAAAAATTACTCTGAGATTTAAAAAAGAGATGGTAGGAGTTTCAACCGAATACGTGAAAGTGGTGCGTATTGATTAATTCAGATTTGTGGCAATTCATTGCGACGCTGGCTTCGATTTTGGGTTATCCCTCGAGAGTACCAATGTTCTAATTCCAATTTGAAATTAAATTAAAATCAAGGTAAGTAATAGCAAAACAGTGTTACGTGGGATATCATAATTGTCACAAAGTATATAAGAGGTACAAACTTCTGACGTTAAGATGGTAACTGGCTACATCTCTGTCCATATGCGTCCTGTGTACTCCATGTGTGATATTGATCTTTAGTGACTATTGGGATTTAGAAAGGACTTGGAAGGAACAATAGAATTACGATCCGAAATTGGGTAGTGGAATTTATAGCTTCTGGAACTGACATCATCTATGGCAAAGTATTCATATTAGCTACTTCACTGTCTTAGGTTAGAAGATAGGTTTACAACTACATAGTTAATAGTAATAAATACCAACTGCATTCACAACATCAAATCTATTCCACCAATAGTAGAATTTGATATACATTACTAATTTATCAGTGATATATACTGATCCTTCTTACTTTAACATTTATTTTTTGCATTGTCAGAAGTTACATCAAATAAATACGTAAACTGTAAAAGTACACTTTGTCATGACGACGCATTTAGTACAAAGCAGTAGTAAACGTACGGTGAGTTATTGTAATATTATTTTAAGTTGATTTGAAATGTATTGGAATTGTAATGTTTATGTTTTGATTTACTGTGTCTAAGATTTTATGCTTCAAAGAAATGAAATTTCAGGTTTCATTTGTTGACTTTTGTCATTCCTTAAATACATATGTTTGTTTATTTGATCAACTGCAAATATGATACTTAGCATTCAGATTAGGATTCATATTAACGCAACTTTTACCTCAATATTTTATTGAATAATTAATATATCGTCTTGTCATAAATTACCAAGACATTAATAAGATGAAATGAGCTAAACATGCGTGGTACGTTTAAATTTTTATAATTGGTTTTATCTCCCATACATTTGAATTAATGTATATTGTATCGGTTTAATGTCTGTACTTAAACTTCAACGGCATTTAAACCAATATGTTGCTAAAAGTCTGACTTAAAAAGTACGTTTTATTTCCTTTGTTTTAATTAATTAGTAATAAAACCTCTCCACTTTCAAAGTCGGCAGCAGGTTTCACACAACATTAAGTAAATAAATCAAATTAGAAGTAAAAGAAACAAATAAGAAAAATATTAACCTGAAGAAAAATATTTTTCATGTCTAATTACACAGAAAACCTTTCATTACATAATGCTGAAACGAAAAAAAATCTTTATATGGTCGTGTAATAAAATGTTATCATTAGTCTGCGAAACGGCTCGAACAAAAACGAGCAATAAAGTTGGATACCAAGCGCCATGTTTCTCCATATGTTTGGCTGCCCGGAAACCTTCGCATCGGATGAAACAAAATAAATGAACTCCATCCCTAATATTAGCTAGGGAAACAACGATTTGTTGTTCTGTTCGGAGCTTTGTCGTTACCATTTGGGTCACAAATTGATACATTCCCAAAGTAAATAAATGATTATTTTTTTAAAGATACAACAACAGTATAGTAAATTAAGATAACATTTTGTCTTGTTTTTGTTTAAGTCTTAAAATGTTTCCTATTGTTATAATATGTCATCGAATGAAGGTAGGTATTGTAGGTTTTTTTATAAAAAAGGAACTTACACTTGGTTTAAATATATTTTATTTAAACCAAACCAACCTTTTTTTTTTTTTTTTTTTTTTTTTTTTTTTTTTTTCTACGAGGGGAATCTTTTAAAGACTTCCTGCCGCGGGGGAAACGCGACAGGGGCATGTGGGATTTCCACCCACTAAACCACCTCGACGTTCTCTGCGCTGTGCGTAGACTAGTGAGCGGGAACGGCAAGCCATACTTCCGCTCACTACGCACGAGTCCCGAAAGGGACTCCGCCATCGGCAGGGGTATCAGTGGCTGACCACACCACCCCTCCGACTCAAGAGCAGCGTGCCGGGAACGCCAAACACGCCGCTCTTCCTCTAGCCTATGTTATCCGGACGCCGGTTCCCCACCGACGCCCGGAGGCTTCCTCACTGGGGAGGCAGGTCGCGAGCATAAGCCCGCTGCCTTCGACCCAGCCTTCGTCGGCGCAGCGGCGCCGAGGAGGGGTCGTCTTCCCTCACTCGTTCAGCAGCCTCCTTCTGCAAGATGACTCTCTCGCTGAAGTCGGCCACCGCCTGCCATGCCCTCTCGCTGCCGACCATGGCCTGGACCACTGCCGGCAACGAAAGGTCTGCGCCAACCACGCGGATGAGTTGGCTACGCTCGGATATCCACGCTGGACATTCCATCAAGGTGTGGTCAGCGGTGTCTTCCACGCGACTGCAGTGGTGACACGTCGCTGTCGGCTCTCTCCCGACTATATGGCACAAATACCTCCCGAAGCAACCGTGCCCCGAGAGGATCTGCACCAGCCGGAAGGTCAAGGATCCGTGTCGGCGGTCCACCCACTCCATGAGGAGCGGGCGAATAGCCTCCACGGTTCGCAACCCGGCCACTGGCTCAGAGAGCCTTTGCCTCCACCGATGGAACAAGGACGACCGCGCAGATCGTCGCCAACTATCCACCCGATCCCGGTCCGGACTCGTTCCCCGGGATCGATCTCGCGCGCGCTGGTGGTAAACCTCCGCCAGAACCTGGGCATCCAGTTCCCAGGGAGGCGTCCCAGCCAGCACGCAAGCCGCCTCATGAGAGACAGTGCGGTATGCTCGTACCACCCTCACCGCCATGACGCGCTGCACTCTGTGCAGCGCAGCCACGTTCGGCCTTGTGAGGGCACCGACCCACACTGGAGCTCCGTACAGCGCCATTGAGCGTAACACACCGGTGTATAAACGCCGGCATGCCACACTCGGACCACCGAGATTGGGGAGAAGCCTCCCGAGAGCATTCGCCGTCCCGAGGAGTTTCGGGACTAACCCGCGAAAGTGCTCCCGGAAGTTCCACCTTCCGTCCAGAGTCAGCCCCAGATATTTCATCCGGGGACTGAGCTCGACGCGGACGCCGCGGATGGTGATGCAGGCGCCCGTCGGAGGTCCTGCTCGAGGGCGGTGGAACAGGAGGGCCTCGGTTTTGTCGAGACCCACCCTCAGCCCGAGCATCTCAATGCGCCGTACTACTAAGGCGGCTCCCGCCTCGGCACGCGCCTTCGCCTCTGCTAGGTCATCGCCTCGGGCTACAACGAGCGTGTCGTCCGCATAGCAGACGACGCTCAGCCCGGTTGGGAGGGCACCGCGGAGCACGAAATCGTACCCAAGGTTCCACAGGAGAGGCCCAAGGACCGACCCCTGTGGAACACCGCAGCGCACCTCGTGACGATGCAACCTACCGTCGCTCCCGACGAACGAGATCTCCCGTCCGCGGAGGTAGCACCCGATTACCCGCCGGATGTAGTGCGGCAGTCTATGGTGTCGGAGGGCCTCTTCGATGACGCCAAAGGGTAGCGAGTTGAACGCATTGGCGATGTCGAGGGACACCGCCAACGCAACTCCGCCCCTAGACACGGCGTCATCTGCGAGACTCCTCAATTTCAGGATGGCGTCTATAGTAGACCGCCCACCCCGAAAACCATACTGGCACTCGGCCAAATCGGGTCCATCCCTGCTGATGTGTCGGACGACACGGGACGCGAGGATCCGCTCGAAGAGCTTCCCCGCATCGTCTAGCAGGACGATGGGACGATATGCAGACGGCGAGTCTGCAGGTCTTCCTCCCTTCTGGAGCAGAACGAGCCTCCCCTCTTTCCAAGAAGATGGAAAGCGGCCCGTCCTCAAACACTCATTGAGGATACCCAAGTACCACTCGGCCAACTCGCCCAGGGCGAGAGCAAAACCAAACCAACCTTAAACCAACTTTTGCCAACGAATGATTACTAGACATAGCAAAATGTATATGTAATATCATATAAACCCAATAATGAGGGAATTAAGTAAATATAATACGTTCCTTTAGTAATTTTTGTTTAAAAATATGATTAGGCAAATAAATGTTTTGTTACCATTTATAGTAACTTAAAATGTCTATTTTATGTAAAATTTTAATGGTGTTGTGTTTTTAACCAATCTATCTCAGAGGTACCTAGTGTTCATTACGAAAATAAACATGGCTCCCTAATAGCTCTTGGCTTTACAACAGATTAAGCACAGTATAAAATCGAGTTAGACAATCCAGATTTATCTTAACATTACTTTATTTTATAAAAACATTTTTTCGTATTTGTTTGTTTAAACAACAGATTAAAACTATAGTAATTTCCAAAACGACCGCCTTTCTTGAGTTATGAATTATTAATCGAATCCAGTTTTTTCGTCTTTATATGATATAAAATTCGATATTCCTGGTAATCAAATGGGACTTACCCGCATATCCAAGAGTGTCTTCGTCTTGGTATCGATGGTAATGTAAGCGCGAAGGGTGGTAAGGCTGCAGGGCTATCCTCATCCACCGGGGCACCACTAACGCGCACCTCAGGCACGCGCAGATGACGATTCATGTTTTACAACAACTATATCACTTCATAACTTCATATTTACTTTAAACCGACCGTCTTGAACACGATTATTAAACTACACAACATTGATTGATGAAACAACTATGGAATGTGCACTTAAATCGATGTATAATAAAATTTTAATTTGATTGTGTCATAAAATAAAAATTTTAAGAGTTTTATTAACCTTGAAACATTTATGACTATATGCCAAACATTGTTTGGGTGCTCTTAATATATTGAAATTATAAAATAAGATGACCTCGATCCCATTCGACACTATTGTTGTACGCTCTAAACTCTCCTAAGAAATTTTACGTTTCAAAAAAAAATCCCCAAATACAAACAGATACCAAGATTCTATATGCAACAAGTGAGTGCAGCATTACATATATAGTAGAAGATAAGTATTAGGGTTAAGAAAGTGTATACAAAATACATAAGTTAGGCAGAAGTCGCAACTGTTGGCTTTATGCCTAATACAAAACGTGGCAACCCGCTGTCTAATATATTTCACGTCAAGTCGTAAAAGTAAATATGCATTAAAGATCAGGTAGGCGTGTAGCAATTTCATTACATTGTTGTAATAGAATCGCATTTTATTTCATTACGATTATTGACATAAAAATTAACTAACTGTGTTTAATCAGTAAATTAGGCTCTTTCCTTATTAAGTATTATATGTTTTCTTTGTTAATATTTTTGTATTGCCTTTATTTTTCCCGATGCTATAATTGGTGCAAACGACTGAGACGAACAGGCGATACAGCGCAAAAGTTTCCAAATGACTCCCAGGGAATTAATTATTAATTATTTAATTAAAAATAAGACTAAACGGCTATTTTAACAATAATTTAACAAATCTATATCAAAATTTAGTAATAAAAGTACCATACAATTTTAGAATATTGTTTTAAAAAAAGGGTGTGAAATGGATTGTATGAACGTTTTACGCCTAATGACACCGATTGTAGGTAAAAGCAAATTAGGTAACTGTCCCTTTTATTCAGCACTCTGTTTTACACATCGGATATCTCGTATTATACGCTACCTATATGAGAAACCAGTGTACTGTCATTTCTGTATTAATAAATAACAACGCCAATTTTATACAACATTGCATACTAAATTTCTCTTTTAAAATGGTAATATTTTTAAAACAGTTTATCAAAAAAAAAAAACAACAAGAACCACTTAATTCGGAAGCCTGCCAAAATTTTCCGTTTGTTTAATAATTTTCAGAAGTGACCTTAACATTGTCACTCAAGTGTTCTGGCATGGATGGAGAGGCAATAAAAAAGGGGCATGATCGCAAATCGCAAAGTCGACCTTTGCGTGAGCGCCTGAAGACCATGCGCACGCACGAACTGTGTACATGCTATTTTAAGTTGACAGGCGCTGCCTTACCCTCGAGTTTATAAATTAAGTTTTGCAAGTAATTGACTCAGATTCTTATTTATTGCTTGTTTGCTTGTGTTATCCCTAATTCTTTGTAAGATTTATGGAGAAGGAGAAAATTTGTTTTATAATTTATTTTTTCACTTAATGAAAGTTAGGTAGAAAGTTCAATAACATTAAGTGCGGAAGTATCATGTGTATTTTTGTCGATCGTATAATTGGCAGTTTCTATTCAAGACGCCTTCTTAATCCTTAGCCAATTTAAAGTTTATAATGAAGCCATATTTAAAAGGTCCAGGATTTCCAGGTTAAAAATTTAGATTGAAAATCGCATTACGGATAAATCGTATAATATCAAATATCCTGTGATCTTTATTAAATATTGAGTTAAATTAAGTATATTTAAAATATATATTTAATATACATCGCTTTCAATATAAGCGAAATTCTCTTTATACGCTTTATGGTTTTATTACGTTAGTCCGAGTCATTTATCTATTTAATAAAAAATAAATATAATAAATATTTAATCATTCATTGTTACAAAACTATTCTGCTAAACAAAATACTGCGTACACATAACACTAAACTTGACATTCAATAAAACAATAATCAAGGCCGTATAACAATGCGTGAGACGTTCTAATAGTCACCCTGACATTGCCTCGCTGACTTCGTGTCATAATAATATAAATACTAATAACCGAATCGAAATATAATCATATTTATATATAAATAAGTATCGTATCCCGAAGTTCAAGATATAATTTACGCAACATGGCTTATACATATATAACACAATCTTAATAAAAGCCTGTTTGATTGATTCCCGAATATAATATTGTGAGAATAGATCTTATGAAATAAAACTGCATTACCGTAGTAATTTGTGCACAAAAAGTGGATTTATTATAGTCAGATTTATTATTAATATATAATAGTGGATTTATTATTTGATTAAGCAGAAAAATGACTAGTGGAAGTTTTACATTTTGAAACAAAACTTAAAAGTTTCTTGTTTATACAATCAAAGTTCAGTAATTTAAATAATATCATACAAAGAACACGTGTAAAAATAGCAATATCACAACGAAATTGTATTTAAAACTCTATTTAATGTTGAATATTATTAAAACCCTTTTTAAAACAGATGATTATTACACGAGATAAAGGTATGTTACATTTACATTAACCTGATAGCACCCTGGTACAGATTAGATAATCCCACTTATAGATGCTAAAGTTTGTACATGTGTGCTATGACGTAAAGACTTACTAACAGATATATAATTTATACTACAAATAAATAGAGAATGCACTATAAGTGAAATGAAATACCGCAAATTATGGTTTGATATATATATTAATAAGTAACGTATAGCCATAATTAATGATATTTGAACGCCCTCTGAGAATGTTCGGTGAATCCTAGACATTAATTTCCAATGACAGATTGAAAATTGAATAAATGTGTTTTAATTAAAACATACATCTTCAGTCAACGTTAGCGAAATTTGGGTATTTGGGTTTGGTAGCGAAATGTTAAAAGCTAATAAAAAAAAATATGCTAATGTATGTTTCAGTTATAAGAAAAAGTTTATTGAATCTACATATTACATAACTTAAAATTTCAGTGATTTTATGAAGAGTATAAGATAAGAAATGTATGTTTAAAATAAAGTTCTATTTAAATATGGTTTAGTTAGTTATAATCTTAGGTATAGTTTGAGTGATTTTATAAGTTCATTCATATGTTACAGAATTCGTAGATCATTCGACATTCTGAATTTGTATTTTACAGTTCTTAATTGGATTGGGGCTTACCAATTATAAGTACAAAAAACTGTTTCATAGTTTTTTTTTAATTTTAAATGTTTTATTTTTGCATATTTGCTAATCAGTTTTAGTGCTACATTGATAAAATTAGACGCAAGATACATATGTTTATAAATAAAATTAGAGAGGTCTTGGGTTCTACCCACTTGAATTACCATTAGCTTATTCCTATTCCTACTGGAATAAATTTTATTAAAGTTATCTTATAAACATTTAACCTTTGTCTATGAAAATGCTTAATTTTTATTAAATATAAAGTTTTAAGAAAGATTGTTTTATAAGCACTACGTATCTAGTGATGTGTTTGATTGCACAAAAATCTCTTTGTTAATATTTGAAAAAGCACACGAGACGAGAGTCCTCGTTATTAATTGTTTTCTAATTGATGTGTACTTTAATAACGGCTACATAACTGCAAATTCTAATCTTTTTTTTTGACTTTTAATTATGTTTATCAAACCGTGTAAATTTTCATTAGTATGCTAGTTGCAATTAATTTTTTTCTATGTCAAATAGTACAGCATTTAACACGATTGTCATATAAAAGTGCCGTCTCTTAAAATTGCTTTCATTTAACAAAAAGGCAAGGCGTAAATTGGATCAATCATGTCATTTTATAAGCTGTCAAACAATAAAAAGTATGGCAATTCAATACCAAAAAAATCAATATTTGTACTGTATATGTATGAACATTTCTCTTTAGAATTCAATATAACAAGTTATTTAAAAATATTTATAAATTATATATTAATATATAAATAACTTCAATACATTTCCCTAACTACATACTTTATTCGCAATAATACTGTACTCAGTGACGTAGGTAATTTGCAGAAATAAAATACAGAGTGTGTATTAGTTAAGGCAATTCATATAAATTCACACATCCACTATAATCCGAAATGGTGATACGAATAGCTATGGTTGCCATCAAAATGCCAAGCCCTCATTTTATTTTATTACCACGGACGCGTTGTATAAGAAATATGGCTAGTAAATCAATTAATTGGAATAAAATAATAAATTAACTTGGTCCTAATACAATGCATTTATAACAAGATTTTTTATAGTTTTTTTATGATACAAAATATAAATTATTAGCTAGTTAGTATTGATTTAGAATTTTGATCATATGAAATCTCGGTAGATATGTTAATAAGGTAGTTGTTACATCATTTTTATAAGCCATAGATCTTCGACAATTATTTTTAGGCAGACCGCCTCTGCCACTCCAAAACTTTACTGCCCCATTGATCACAAATGATCTATTCTACCTACTGACATAAACTTTTATTTTTACGAGTACCTTAAGATAGTATTAGATTTTTTGTTAAATAAATATCAACATGTTTACTATATTTATGGGTTAGTTTATTTTAAAGTAGCACATTTTAAATAAAGTCTTTCTAATTTTTGTGTACTTTTTGCGTAATAAGAGTGTATCGATTTTTTTCTATAGGAGAAAGGTTTTACGTTACAAACCACCTACTGCTTTATATTTTATTTTAACTTCAAATAATTAATTAAAAATGTCGTATAAATTACATTAAATTGAGAACCCTAATTTTCGAAATCGCTTACAATTTTCAACTCCACATATTTGAATTGCTGAGACGGCTAATTCAAACACGGCCGCTCCGATTTTTATCGTCAGAAGCAGAAGTCAATGTCACCTGATATATCGAACTGATAAATCTTAGTTCAAGCTGAATTTTCATTTCAGATAGCGTGATAGATGTGAAAAATAGTAAAAAGGTTGGTACTTTAGC